AGGGCAGATCAGACCAGGGGCAGCTCCAGAGAGTAGGCCATTATCTCAAAGCAAGAAACTGACAAACTCTGGTTCTGTCCCTAAGACACAAACAGGCCAAAACTATCTATCATAATCACTCTTCAGCTGTTACCACAATGCATAACAAGGAACAAGTAATAGCAAAAGTTCTCAACCTGACAATATCCTTTAAATCTTGCTTCTGAAAAATCAAGCTTCCCACATCTCCCAATTTTTAACTTCCAAAGAACAGAGGATTAAGACATACACTATGCTCCAGGTTCAGTGGAGTTACTTCAGTGAATGTATTACAGCAGTGGTGCTCTAACTATCTGGTCCCATGAGCTTGATGAGTGGCACTGGGCCAGTCTACAGGCTGGATCCACCACTTAGTCAGCCCATGGGCTGGTCAAGCACCGAGTTGGTCCACAAGTGTGATTGGGTATATTGACCCAACCCAAAACACCAGCCTGACCCTGCAAAATGGCCTTACCCTGTGCACCAGCAGGACCTCACACCAGACGCAGATGCATGCCAGCCCAACCCTGCAGGTAGCCTGACCTCAATGTGCCAGATGTGACCACACAGCAAGTCCACACACTGGCACAATCTTCACACAGACTAAAATTTTTAATATTCTGACCCAACTACTAATCTGTGTATAAAAACACAACCTTTGCGTACCAGGCAAACTGAAAACATTTATGTCAGCAAAAACAAACGAAAAAGCATTTCTTAAAAAAGAAGAGGAAAAAAACCCACTTACTTCCCAATGTTTTCAGGTAGTGCCTGCAGAGAGATGTCGTTTACAGAAAGACAGGTTAGATTCTGTAATTCAGGAAAGCTTTCAGGCAATCTGTGGAGATATTAATTCAAATACATCAAAGACTTCTAGTATAGCAACTATTCATATTAACTCAGTGAGATTTTCTACTCTCATGAAAAAGAGAATGGAGGTGACCATTTTATTTAAAGAGATACATATATAAAACCAAGGAACACTAAAAGAAGACTAGCACAGGAAATAAAAAAGAAATGCCAGAAGTAAGCTAGACACGTTTAATTTTCTTCTATGTATCAAGGTGAAGAATATATGACTAAACATATGTGAACAAATAAAGACAGTGAGTATATCTGCTCATATAAATTTTAAAAAAAGAAACATAAAAGATTTAATAGTTTTCTTTCTAGATATAACAGCAGATATAGTTAGGGAAGGTGTAGAGGAGATTGGAGAACCATATGCTTATGCGATGTTATGGCATTAGGTCATGAAGTAAAGTCTTTTTTTTGTTGTTGTTTATAGCTATTTGTTAAGGACACTTCGAGCATAAATTCTCAAACAGTTGCAACTGGAATAAGCCTCCTACTGTCTCCTATATTTCTAAATCCAAGGGGGTCCTGACTACATTTGAGGGTCACAGTATAGAATAAGGGTGCCCTCATGTGGAAGATTAACAAAACCTCCAAAACAATAAACATGTTTTCTCTCCCATTTTATAAATGTAAAAAAGCCAGTATAAGTGAAAAATATTTAAGCAGATATTGATTATAAATGCTCTAGTAGCTTCTATAAAAATAACCCAGATAGATTATTTCACAAACTTTACCACATACACACTAAAATTCTTTAAAGAAGTTGCTCACAAGTTGTTCAGCTCATTATGTTATTTTAATGTCTAGTTTGTGTTAACTATGTTTTCATTATTTTAAAAACAAACTTGTTACATTTGGTATCATATAGTTCCTTGCTTAAAAAAAGGAACTGGTTAACACATGACAACTCTGCCATGACTTTCATAGTTTCTCAAATACTATCTAGTACACGCTCATCTATAACTACCCACCTATAAATGGGAAGGAAAATTTCCATTAAAGTGATTAACTGTTCTACTATGGCAAAAAGATTTAGGACTTCATTCTCCATCTTGCATTACACCAATAACTCTACTGAATTCAACA